TTTATTTGTGGTAAGCCAAAGGCTCGGTCGTGTCCGAGCACTGACTCTACCTGTGGTTCTCAGCATTCCGCTCTCTCAGAGCCGCATCTTTGATCAGGATCAGTCAAGAGGATCCCATGACTGTTGCTGGCTGTGCTGAGTCTGCAGAAATAAAGAATTTTCATTCAGAAATAGGAGGCCATGTGCAAGACCACAGGGAGCTAAGAAGAGAACAGCAGCTAAGGTGGGACACGAAAGAGGTGAACAAAGCCTGTGCACTGCCAGAGACAAACTGAGCAGATCCACTTGGTCCTGAGAAAGACCTGAGACGGCAGGGACAGCGAGGCGCTACCTGCAGGGAAGCCACCGTGTGGACATGAGGATGCGGGGGAGGGCTGAGCACGCCCCGCTTTCCAGTCCTTCCCTCTTTTCCCGCAGCCACCACAAGTGTTCACGTGCTCTTGTTCAGCCGCTCAGTCGTGTCCAGCACTCTGTGACCCCATGGACTGTAGCCCACCAGCCTCCTCTGTCCATGGATTTCCCAGGTGAGAATACTGGAATGGGCTGCCATTTCCTCCTCCAGGGGATCTTGCTGATCCAGGGATTGAACCCACATCTCCTGCATTGCAGGCGGATTCTTTACCACTGAGCCACAAGGGATTGCTCAGTACTGGATCTCAGAACGTGTTCAACCACTTTTCAGACAGCTGATTACTGGGCAGGCAGTCCCAACGCATGCATGCATGCTAAGTTGCTTCAGTCGTGTCCAACTCTGTGCGACCCCCTGGACTGTAGCCCACCAGGCTCCTCTGTCTGTGGGATTCTCCAGGCAGGAATACTGGAGGGGGTTGCAAACCTGTGCACACAGCTGAAGCTTCCCTGTGTATCAGGGAGGGAGGGGGAATGCAATAAGGTGGGGAGAGGGCAGCCCACCTCTCTCTCCTCAGCCTCCAGGAGCCCGAGAGGGATTTGTTCCCAGGAGCAAGAACACATCCCTTTATGGAGCCCTGAGGAAAAACTAAGGAAGAAGCAAACTGAGAGAAAACAAGCAGTATTAACAGCTGTGGAGATGCCAGGCTAACACAGGCAGAAGTCGAGAAGGTGAAAGATATGTTCTGAAAGAAGGTAATTCAACTCCTGGAGAGTGTTACTTGTGCCCCACAAGTGAAGAAATTAACTGCAGATGAGAAACAAATGTTTCCCTAATCCTCTCAAGTATCAAAGTTCTAAACCCTTATAACTCAGGATTTTTCCTTTTTTAACACTTTGATCTTATTATGTTTTTGATCCTTTGATTCCTTTATCTCTTCTCAACTTATAATCAGATCTTCACAGAAACTGTCCTACACAAACACACCCTTTTTACTATTTTTAAAATTGTTGAAGCATAACATACATTTGAAAATCAAATAACTGGAAACATCGATGTTAACAACCCCTCAGGGTATGAAATAGAACATTAGCAACAATTCCTGGGTGTCCTTCCTTTGTATTTTCCATCTTTATCTTCACTTTTCACTTGACTTTTGAATGCTTTCTTGGTGAATCTATACCGTAGTTGAAAACTCTCCTCTCACTAGAGAGGCAGCAGCAGGCAGGAGCTGGTCTTTGAAACTGGATTGACCAGAGATCAAACGGAGATCAACAGCTCACCAGCTGTGTGACTCTGGGCAATGAACTCCTCCCTGAGCATCAGCCTCCACACACATGGAATGGGGAATGAAGGCCTGTCTCACAGCCTGTTTACTAATTACGGAAACGGGAATCCAGCTTCTGAGCTTCAGCCCTGGTCCTGCGGTGCAGAGTAGAAGTCATGGTCTTTAAGCACTCCGAATGATTCTTCTGCTCTAATGGCTTGCCTTCTCCATCCACTTTCTTACTATTGCAACTGAAACTGAATTATTACAGAAAGATAGTCCGAAAGTTTTGGACGAGGAAGTACTTTGTAAAGGGGGAAGGTTTTTGGTCGTCACAGTAGCTGGAAGCATGCTGCCCTTAATAGAAGGGGAACGGTTGCAGAACCTTATGCTGTATACAGCACTGCACAGCTCGAAGAGGGTCTCCTGCAGAAGGCCACCAGCATTCCCTCTGAGAATCCAGAAGGGGAGAAGGGAGGACTGAACAAGTCTGTTCATTCTCTTTATAATTAGTTAGTTTTACCAATGTCCAAATTATATCGCCTTTGTTGCACTTTAAGACCATCATTTTTTAAATCCTGTTTGCAGAAGGAAAAAGATCAGCTGATCCCCCATTTTTGTGTTTGGAGAAAAACAAAAGTATATATAAAATAAATTTGCTTACTGAAAAATTATAGTGGGAAAGGTCCAAAAATAGAGTATTGAAATGGATAACCAACAAAAACCTACTGTACAGCACATGGAACTCTGCTCAACTGTTATGTGGCAGCCAGGATGGGTGGGGGTTTGGGGGAGAATGGATGCATGTATATGTATGGCTGAGTCCCTTCGCTGTTCACCTGAAACTATCACAACATTGTTAATCAGCTATACCCCAATACAAAATGTTTTTGTGTTAAAAAATAAGTGAATATAATTAAAGCAAAAACAAAAGTAGAGTGTTTTTTCATTTGTTAGTATATGAATAATTGGGGTACTCATTCTTCTTTCCTTTTTAACTGGAGGATAATTGCTTTACAATGTTGTGTTGGTTTCTGCTGTACAACATTTTGAATCAGTCATAGTTATATATCTATATATCCCCACCCTTTTGAATCTCCCTCACATCTACCCCCTGGGGTACTCATTCTTAAAGAGCCAATTAAAATATATATATAGCCATATAAAATAATATCACAGGATAATCTTTTACTGACATGGGAAAATATTAATGCTGCATTGCCAAATGAAAAAATAAGGAAGAGTAAAAAACAGACATTGCAATTACAACCCATGCAAAGGAAAGGATGACCCGGACACCAGGAAAGAAGGAAAAAGCAAGCAAGCAAAAAGTGCTGGTGAGAGTGACCAGATCTTATCTAAAACTTCAAGACAGCCATTATAAATAATGTTCAAAGAACTAAAGAAAACCATAATTAAAGAAGTAAAAAAAGGTATGATGATGACAATGTCACATCAAGTATATAACACCAATAGAGATAGAAATGATAAAAAAAATTTAAAGAAACAAACAGAAATTCTGAAGCTGAAAAGTACAATAACTAAAGTGAAAAATTCACTAGAGGAGCCATAAATGAGAACTGGCATTAGCAATAATTAGTAAGTTTGAAAATAGAACATAGAGATTATAAAATCTAAAGAACAATAAAGAAAAAATTATAGGTTCTAGCCTAAGGGCAATTAGGAAAGGAACAAAAAAACATATGGATTGGAAAGGAAGTAAAACTATCTCTGTTCACAGGTTACATGATATTGTATATAGAAAATCTTAAAGAACCTGTTAAAAAGTACTAGAAATAATAACGAATTCAAGATTGCAAGATATAATGTCAAAATGCAAAAATGAATCATATTTCCATATATTTGCACGGAACAATAAAAAAAGTGGAGTTAAGAAAATTGTATTTACAATAGCATCAAAGAGAATAAAACACTTAGGAAAAACATAAGAAGTTTAGAATTCATACTTTGAAAATTATAAAACCTTATTGATGGAAATTCAATAAGATCTAAATAAATGGAAAAATATCCTATGTTCATGAATTGGAAGATGTTATATTGCTCAGATGGGAATAATCTCCAAGTTAATCTACAGACGCAATACAGTCCCTCTCTGAATCTCAGCTGGCTTCTTTTTTTTTCTTTAAAAAAGTTTATTTTACATTGCTCCAAAGATGTCCCCCTCCGAATTCCTTGAGCTCCCAAACGTGTCACTGCACCTTGCAAAGGGTAAGTTAAGTAGCAGATGGACTAAGGCAGCTAACCAGCTGACCTTACAATAGGGAATTCCAGATTACCTGAGAAAGTGCAGGGTAAATCACAGGGGTCCTTAAAATGGAGAGGGAGGCAGGAGAGTCAGGGTCGGAGGGCTTGTTCTCAGTTCAGCTGCTGGTTTGAAAGACAGAGGAATGGCCAGGAGCCAACAAACATGGGTAGCCTCTATCAGCGGAAAATTAAGGGACAAGTTCTCCCCGTGAGTCCCCAGGAAGGAACACAGAACTGCAGACAACTTGATTTTAGCTCACTGAAACCCATTTCAGATTTCTGGCCTCCAGAACTGTAAGAAGATTAATCTATGTTGTTTAATCCACTGTCTGCAATAACTTGTTACAGCACTAACAGGAAGATAATACATACCCCATTTTGGTCACTTATCACTATCCAAAATGATCTTATTTAGTCACTTACATAGTGTCTTCTGGGCTTCCCAGGTTGTGCTAGTGGTAAAAAAACCTGCCTGCCAATGCAGGAGGTGTCAGAGACACAGGTTTGATTCCTGGGTCAGGGAAATCCCCTGGAGGAGGGCATGACAACCACTCCAGTATTCTTGCCTGAGTATTGGACACGACTGAATCAACTTAGCACACACAGTGTCTTCCACTCTGGAAAGTGAATCCATGAGGGTAAGGACCTGTTTTCTCACTGCAGTGTCCCTAGGGCCTGGACCAGCAGTGAATAGAAGTGGTTGTTCAGTGAAGACCTCTGCAATCAGTGAAAGAGGCTAACACAAACCCAAGGGGTAGAGCCTGGTGGTCCTGTGTGTTTGATAGGCATGTATAACAAACAGAACAATATTTAGGCTTCCTTGGTGGCTCAGATGGTAAAGAATCCACCTGCAATGTGGGAGACCTGGGTTTAATCCCTGGGTTGGGAAGATCTCCTGGAGAAGGAAATAGCTACCCACTCCAGTATTCTGGCCTGGAGAATTCCACAGAAATAGGAGTCTGATGGGCTATAGTCCATTGGCTTGCAAAGAGTCGGACACAGCTGAGTGACTTTCACTTTCACTTTTGAAGGGAGTAAGAGAAAGCAGAAGGAGAACTGTATAGATGATGCAGTTTCTCTCTGCAGAGAGAGCAGGCAGGCTGGCAGCCCAGGGCTGACATGTCACTGATCCAGGAGCTCCTCATGGACCAGGAGCCCTCCAAGTTCCTCTGCCTGTATGGGGCGTCCTCGACCTCCTGGCCCAAGGTGAATTGTTGAGGAAAAACTTCCAGAAACTGTCGCATAACTTGACCCACCTGTGTACCAATGGTTATCACAGACAGTGGAAAAGCCACAAACATCAGATGCCACTTTTATAAACACGCACACATCATTAGAAAGTCTTACCTCAACAACTAAAGAGAGTTTCTTTCTTTTTTTAAATTTTAAAATCATTTTTAAAATTTATTTAGCTGCGGCAGTTCTTAGTTACAGCCTGTGGATTTTTTTTAGCTGTGACATGCAGGTTCTAGTTTCCTGACCAGGGACCTAACCCGGGCCTCCTACATTGGGAGTAGGGAGTCTTAGCTGCTGAACCACCAGGGAATTCCCAAGAGTGATTCTTTCTTGATGGGGGAGTGTGGGAATTTATTGTTTTCTGCTTTGAGGTCTTCTGTGTTTTCCATATGAATGGCAATAAATATGCACTGCTTTTGTAATTAGAAGAGTCCAATAAAAGGTGATTCAAGGAAAGGGAGGAAATGACACAGTCAAGGGGCTGATGTACAGATTTATGCAGGAAACCAAGAGGGTTGGTTTGTGGCTGAGAGAGGAGAAGGGACACTTCCAGATCCACCAAGAGGACTGGCTTTTATTCTCCCATTGTCAAAAATGCTTATAAACAGCCTGGAGGGTTGTTAGGCTTGGGGCTTCAGGCTTAGCTGTATTTTGATTTGGAGTTTATTCCCTTCACAGGATGACAGACCAAAGGAACAAAACATGGATTACAGCTCAAGCTACAGACATGGCCAGAAGTGTAAATACTAGGATCTTGAAAACGTTAAGCTTTTTTCAGTATTTGTCTACATAATAGATTCATCCCGTCACTGTCATTGATCCCATTTGTAGAGTTTCTATTTGCTCAGAATGCCCAGCTCTGACCTTCCTGTCAGTACAAGGGGCTGGGCTTCTACGAGAAGCTCCTAGAGGCAGCATGGTGACCCGCAGCCCACAGCCCACCATTGACAGGGAAGCAGTCCTGTGGAACCTGCTTAGTCTTTGTCATTTTAGGCTGAACAAAATAATAATTGAAAGGTTTTCTGTCATAGACAATGTACCTGAGTGCCTCTTAGATGCCAGGGTAGTCTTGGGCATGCAGACGGGAGCCCTGTAAGTACTCTGGTAAGGTGACTACATAGTTGTGGTGCAAATCAAGCTCCACGCTGCTATTACATTTAGCTGTAGGGGCTTGTGCATGTATAATTTGATGGAATCGCTCAGGGTTCATGGGGTCAGCAGTTTGAAAGAGGAAAGCTGGTCTGAGTCAGCCCCCGGGACAGCTGCATAAAGAAGCCTCTGGTTTGATGGGTAGACCAGAAGCCCAGTCAGGAGGCTCTCCTCCTGAGGGTGATGCACCGCCATCTTGCCCTGCCTTCCTGTGCGTGAAGGAGGAGGGGCACACTGTGGGAACCAGAGTAGGGAGAGAGCAGTCTGCATCAGACAGGATGAGAAGGAGAAACAAAGACCCAGGGCTCTAAACACCCTCACATTTTCCCTTCTTGTGGGGTTTTCAAGGGATTTCATGTGTATATGAAAAGTTACCAGTGCAGTTTCAAGTTATTCCAGCTAAGAGAACAGGGTTTGCTTTGCTTATTTCCTGCTAAAACTTAGAGCAAAAAGAGTATTAAGACCTTTGGATTTTCCAATGTGTCTTGAAGGCTGGAAAAGCTTTCTTAAATCCACAGAGTAAGAGAACATAAGCTACACATTCCAGGCAACAGGCAAAGACACGTTGCCTGGGGAATAAAATACCTTATTGAAAACACAGTGACCTGAGTCCCACGTGGTTTTAGGAGTGGTAATTTCATGAGAAAGTAGAACTTTAGAGATTTATCAGCCATTGGTATTGTTAAGTCAACATCAAACCCACAGAGAGGTGAGTTGGCTCAGGAAACACCAAAGTGCTAGAAATACATTTCTAACCTTGTGAGGGGCTGGGGCCCAGAAAGAAAAATCTGGCAGTGTATTTAGGTTACCAGCCTGACCCTCCACCACCACGTGGCACACATGGCACCCGTGGAGTGGGGCTTCCCCACTGGCTATAGTCCCAGCGGGTTGACGAAGAGTAGAGATGTAGGTGACATTAGCAAGATGAGGACGAGGCGGTCTCAGCCTGTGTCCTTCCACAGAAACAACAACTAAAACAACTACCCAAGGTGATAACATCCTTGGAAGAGTTCTGGAGTTCAATTCAGTTCAATTCAGTTCAGTTGCTCAGTCATGTCCGACTCTTTGTGACCCCATGGACTGCAGCACGCCAGGCCTCCCTGTCCATCACCAACTTCTAGAGTTTACTCAAACTCATGTCCATTGAGTCGGTGATGCCATCCAACCATTCATCCTCTGTCATCCCCTTCTCCTCCTGCCCTCAATCTTTCCCGGCATCAGAGTCTTTTCTAGTGAGTCAGTTCTTTGCATCAGGTTGCCAAAGTATTAGAGCTTCAGCATCAGTCCTTCCAATGAATATTCAGGACTGATTTCCTTTAGGATGGACTGGTTGGATCGCCTTGCTGTCCAAGGGACTCTCAAGAGTCTTCTCCAACACCACAGTTCAAAAGCATCAATTCTTTGCCACTCAGCTTTCTTTATAGCCCAACTCTCACATCTATACATGACTGTTGGAAAAACCATAGCTTTGACTAGACAGACCTTTGTTGGCAAAGTAATGTCTCTGTTTTTTAATATGCTGTCTAGGTTGGTCATAACTTTTCTTCCAAGGAGTAAGTGTCTTTTAATTTCATGGCTGCAGTCACCATCTGCAGTGAGTTTGGAGCCCAAGAAAATAAAGTCTGTCACTGTTTCCACTGTTCAATTAAGAAACCGCAACAGCCCAGAGGAGCACAAAAACTGACGGCCACAGAGGGAAGGTGTTTCCCTTCTGTCACCCCGTTCCCCAGACCGGCACATCCAGGGCCAAGAGGAACTGCCTGCATGGTGAATCCTCACAGTGAAAAGACAAAGGGCAGGAGGGCCCTGGTGGAAACCCTCCCATACTCACCTCCCTCACTGTATGCCCCCAACTCCTGTTTTTTACAGCAGGTGAAACAGTCAATTCAAAACACAGTCATCACAGACTTGCCTGATGCTGCAGTGGGTAGGAATCTGTCTGCCATTGCAGGGGACACAAGTTCCATCCCAGGTCCAGGAAGACCCCACATGCCGTGGGTGGCTAAAGCCCACACATCACCACTACTGAGCCTGTGCCCTAGAGCCCATGGGCCGCAGCTACTGAAAAGACCCGCACCTCAGAGCCCATGCCCTACAGCAAGAGAAGCCACCACAACGAGAAGGCCACGCACCACAACTAGAGAAAGCCTGCATGCCCTAGAGCCCATGATCCACAGCAAAACAAGCCACCCAGTAAGAAGCCCATGCCCCGCAAGGAAGAGTCACCCTCACTCACTGCACCCACAGAAAGCCCTTGAGCAGCGATGAACACCCAGTGCAGCCACAATTAAATAATTAATTTACAAAAACACACAGATCGGATCCCCTACCAGAGTGGCTGTGAGGCCCTCCTTGCTGCTGGGTTTGCACAGTGAGGAGCAAGTCATGATTTCTGTCTGCCCAAGGTTGACCTGTGAAATGTGGACAAAAACACCACTGTTGGCCTCTGCACACCATGGCAGCTATGGCATTACAGGCCTTCAGGACAGAGGCTCCATCAACCAAGCCGGACACTGCAGCAGCTGGGTGGCCACGACAATAGAGGGGGTGCAGCTCTTCCGCGGAGACTCTGGGGCCCCCTACTTCCTCACTGTGTCACCACTCATCCCCCCTCCACTCCCAACCTACTGTCCTGAGTGGCCGTGTGCCCACACAGTCGCAGTCCCTGCTGGTGAGGAAGCCACAGCCCAACTGGACCTCCTGTGTCTGATTCAGACCGCTGCACTTCGGGCAGGCCCTGCTCCAAGCAGCACATGCCTGATGTGGTCCGGCTCCAAGGGGCCAGCCAGGAGCTTGGCCTGGGCTGTCAGAACTCGAGCTCCCTCCCAGGCCCTGCAGAGCAACGTGGGTGCTCCCAGAGCTGGGCCCCCGGGAGGCCCTGCCCCTCCTGCCACCGGCTGTGCTGTGCTTAGTCGCTCAGTCATGTCTGACTCTTTGTGACCCCATGGCCTATAGCCCGCCAGGCTCCTCTGTCCATGGGATTCTCCAGGCCAGAACACTGGAGTGGGTTGCCATGCCCTCCTCCAGGGGATCTTTCCCACCCAGGGACTGAACCTAGATCTCCTTCATTGCAGGCGGGTTCCTTACTGTCTGAGCCACCAGGGAAGCCCAGCAAGGTGGCGGTGCCATCTCCACCCCCACTGGGACCCTCCCCAGGTCCCAGGGTTGGGCATGCAGACCCCACAGAACCTCGTGGGGTCGGCACTTGGGCGGGAGGTACTGGAAGGAAGACCTGCCACAGGACATGTGTCTGACGGGCACCTGAGTCCCGGCTCCTGCGGCTGCCCTCCCCCTGCCGCCTCTCTCTGCCTTTAACTCTGAAGTACCCTGTGCCGGCTGCTCAGCCCCGGCCGCAGGCCCCCTAGAGCCCTGATCTCCCCCAGAACAGCCTCACTTCCCCCCAACTCCTCAGAGAGCCCCTCTGACCTCCAAGTCCAGATGCATGCTGGCGCCCCTCATGGCCACACGTGCTTTCTGAGCACGAGTCCCCATCTGCCATGGCCGACGGTGTGTCTTTCCTTACGGGTCCCTGTGGACAGCCCTCCCTCCTCCGTCTGCACCTGGGGTGCACGAAGCTGCCTGCCTGCTGGGCCAGTGACTGGCACACCTTCTTGGTGCAGGGCCACCTGTCCACTCTTTTGTGCTCACAGAGCAACCAGGGACAACGCAGGAGCGATGAGCTGTGTCCCGCAGCCCCAGGGAGGACAGGGTGCCGTGTGAGGGCTGGAGAGTGTCTGGGCAACCCGGGGCCACACAGCCAGGATGGTCTCTATGGGGTGACCTGCTCCCGGCCTTGAGGGTCAGCTCTGAGTCAGCCTGCA